ATTCGTACCTTTCTCAAGATTATCTGCGCGAAAGTGAATGCAACGATCCCGATCGGAATTTGAACTCTGCTCGCCACTTTCTTGTTCAGACTATCAGATCCTTACACCATCTGCACATTCAGCAGATAGCAACCAAGCAAAATTATGTCTAACATTGTTAACTTACTTCAACAATCTTATAGAATATTACTAAGGTTAGCTTTGCCTTACATTACAACACTGGGGGGGCGTACAGTTTGGATCGAATTCGTTAACTATAGCTTCTTAAGGATTTCATCCTCAACAACGGTACTACAAGCGTTATCAAGTCAAAAGAATCTTACAAGTCCTCGCGAGCATTTCGACGTGGTGTCATATTGATACCGAAGTCTAGAGAACCCAGTCTATCCAAGTATTTAACCCATAGCTGGGAAAGAGGAGAAGGAATGAATTCATGCCTTTCCCAGCGACATTTGTGCGAAAATGAACGCGTTCCCGTAATAGGAAAGTTAACACAGAAGATGAACTTTTTCTCAAATTAAAGGAATGCTGGGAAAATCTGACGAAGGACGTTGAATTACTAAAGAATATAGTCTATAGCATGCCACGAAGAAATAAAGCCTTTATTAACCCTAGAACACTAACCATCAATTAAAGTTACACCACTACTAACCATGGGTATATCATACCCGGTTTTGAAAATATCAAAAAAAAATATTAAATATAAATCTTTATTTGAAATATTTTACATGCAGATACTTCAAACTTTGTACTTTGAGTTAACATTAATAGGAACTGAAAAACATTATTTAGGTAAGAAAATCAGGTACTGAAAATTGTAATTAAAAATAGGAAAATTTGCGCTGGGTACTATATACCCATGGTTAGTGTTCTAGGTTAAAGTAAAAGGTTACCCAACAAAATACAGGGTGACCCAAAATAACTGGAATTTTTGAAGTGCGTTTTGCCAGACATGAGCAAGTGGCAACACTGCGAGACAGTGACCTTGAGCAAGTAAACATTTCGCCATTTAGAATTCAAGATGAAATTCACAGTATACCAGCTGAGATGTTGCACCAGTCAATGAGGAATCTCAACAGCAGATTTCAAGAATGCATTCGTACAGGAGGACGCCATCTACAGGACGTAATTTTTAAAAAATTGTTTCTTAAATGGCATGTTTTAAGGTTTCAATTACTATGAATAAAATATTTTTCTTCCATCACTCTTAGTTTTATTGGATTATTAAAAAGTTCCTATTTTTTGGGTCATCCTGTAATAAATCATTTTTTGATTTGTATAATGTACATATGTACACCTGTATTAATACCCTGTATTAATAAACGAATTTTATTACTCACTTGGTAAAAATACAAAAATCGGCTTTCTATGGGTGTGTTTCTTTTTTCTTTTTTCCTTTTTTTTTTTTTTTTGGCCTCGTACTGTAGATAAAACTACTTAAGAGTTTTACCTATCTTTCTACGGAGTTTCACTAACCCTCCTTCGCTTAGTGCAATGGAGACGTACGACTTGTGAAGAAGTTCCTAATAACCAGACATTAGTTAAGTTTACCTGCCTCGTCTGTCGACAGTCAACCAATAAATGGTTGTTCTTGTTCTTAAAGTGTTACCCACAGAGATAGGATGTTGGCTTCCATCTGCATAATTCTTCTGGCATCAATGCGCGCCAAGTGACTCTATTCCTTTTAAAGCAATGGGAGGTGCTACCTGGGAAACTGAACATAGAAACTAGACATTAATTCTTAGTCGTCTTGTCTCTAGAGAAGACCAGAACGAACAGCCAATCAATAAATAACTGTTCTTCTTCCGAGCCTATAAATTTGAAGGAGAACAGAATATCTATTCAAACAAAATCCTTTAAGTTGGATGTCTTTTCTTAACAGAAGTAAATTGATCGAATGCTTAATAAAGGGTTCCAATTTTCAACTTTGAAATAACCGCACTTTTAACAATTTCTTCTATGTGATAATTTGCAAGGAAGACTGGGCTATAGCCTTGATTGGCAACTAGTCTAGGAGAATAACACTGCATTGGGTGGATGGGCGGGTAACTTCACGTTGTAAAAAGCCTACATGTGACGTAAACCATGACAGCAACGTCCCTCTCTCTCTCACTTTAAACATTTTCTCTTCCTTAATATTGTAGATAGGTCTGGTTTGTTTTGTTTTACGGCTTATCAACCTCAATGGGTTATTTAATGCCGACAAGGTTTTTATTGCTGATAATATTTTTCCAAAATATATGGATGGTAATATTATTTTTTCCTCAAAAATGTATTGCTGGTAATATTTTTTTTTAAAATAGGTTTTATGGGTTTTTCATAAAATGTAGTTGATTTTTTTAAAAAAGTCCAGTTTGTGTGATTTTGTATTGGGGGTCAACTATCTGACTTCAGCTGGGACCCTAACAGATGCTACCACGCCGGGTTAGAGTAGACATGGGAAAACCAGCAATTAAGAGGTAGTGCCTCGCTCCTCAAAACCTCCTGATCAGAGGCCTTGCTGTTGGATGCAGTTTATCGTCATACCCACGACGCATATTGTAGATATAAACAATTTATATTTGTAAATAACACAAAACAACCTAATTTATTTATTTTTACTCATACAAAGAGATGGGGTCTGAAAAGATCTCCCCCATGGGTGAAACCTAGGTAGGTAGTATCTGGCTCATTAGGATATATATATATATATATATATATATATATATATATATATATATATATATATATATATATATACATATTTACATTATTCGGACTGTTGTCCTCATCTTTGTCGCCATGTTTATCACAACGTTTCGGCCGTTGTATGCTCCACCATCCATACATCGTAAAGAAAGGGATCATCCGCTGCTTACAACATCGAGAAAAAGTCATAAGTGGCGACCCAGATACATTAGATAAAGAATTGGTAAGTATAAGTAGTACCCTACAACGTAACAACTACCCTGGGTAAATAGCAGCAGCTCCCAAAACTGGGATAGACAGGTACAAAGGCACTCAGAAAACAGTCTGCCTGCCTTATGTGAAGGGGTTATCAGAGAAAATACAAAGGATCTGTGGTTCATATAACATCAGGACATCCTTCAAAAGCGGTACAACACATCGCATATATCTCTCCCGAGTAAGACTCCACATAGAGGAGAACATGACTAAAGACTGTGAGTACTCTATCACGTGCAGCTGCGGAAATAAATATAAAGGGGAGACAGGCTGCTGCCTTAAGGTAAGGCTTCGAGAACATCTGTCGGATCAAGTTGAGATCATAGACAAATAACATCATTCGAAAATTCGTAAATTTAAGGAATCAGCATATATGCTGGGCCACAAAAATCTCCTGAGCTGACCAAGCATAGAAATGAATACAATATGGGAACCAGTAATAAGGAGTGCCAGAGAAAAGCGATAATAACATCAAAAATTGCGATATGAGCTCTGGTAAAAAAAAAAAAAATGCAATGATAACAGTTTTTGGAAGGCACTTTTGCTATTTCAATGTTGCTTCTGATTTCGATGGAACATTTACTATAGTCTTTTAAATGTTTCCAGATATGTTTAAATACCTGGAAAATGTTTTAGCAGACTTAACTTCTGTACTTGTTTGATTTCTATATCTCCAATTCATAATTTCTTGTGTCTTCTTAAAATAGATGGTTAGTTATTTATCTTTTCGCTTTCCTTTGCTACTATGTTTATGAGAGCCTATAGTGTTTCTTTAGTATCAGTAGGCACAATCTGAACAATATAAAATATACATATGACACTGTGTTGATGGCAGACACTGCAGGGTTTCCAATTCCCTAAGGACAGCCTCGATGTCGAAGTTGAATAAATCTGGTGAGAAGACAGATTCTTTCATTTACCCCGACCCTTTCTATTTTTTGTATATTTACTTAATTCATTCTCCATCCGTATGATGGACGATTATTCTAAGATAATTCCCAAATAATTCAATCTAGCAGCTCAGACAGATTCTTGTGTCATCCTTATCAAATGTTTTTCGCATTATCTATGAAATATGAGTATACACCCTTCTTTGTATTATTCTCTACGAAAGTGTTCAGAAATTTAGCATTTTTTGGTTCTAATGTCTTTAACAAAACCACAATGTTCTTGTCATATTTTCTGGTTGTTGTAATCAAGGGAAGGTTACTGAATAGAATAATCACACAAAGGTTGGTAATGAATGATAATACTTAGGACAAGAACAACACATATAAGATTCGCCAGCGGGGTGTAGTAGTAGTAGTCAACTGCTAGAATTGAGTCAAGTGAATTCCACAATGAATCTCCAAATGCAGGATATCTACCAACCGCCCCACGCGGTCAGATGTGTCATAAGGCGGAACTTAATGTGGGGTATCCGAGCCCGTAGGTTCGGCCAAAAATTCCCCGTAGACCCCGTATAAGACTCTGCCCTTCGACATAGCTTCGTCTGGGGGTCCTCTTTGCCCGGATACAGAGAGTTTGACCAGCACAGCTGGAGACGAATCTCCAACTGCAGACCAACATACAGTATTTAGTACTGTATTTATGTGAATGGGAACATACCTGCTATAGGTCGTAGGTATGCTACAACACTGGTCTGATTCTGTTTCGTGATTGATGTTGCTACTTCGTCGTCATCGTGTCACCTTCCTTGAGGACATAGGCAAATATTGCACCCCACAGCTGTCTAGGTAGGTGTCTCGCTACCTTCTCCTGTCTCTTTTGTTCTCTATATGCTCCTTGGGGATTAAGTTTGCCAAGCCCTCCTTCATTATGTCCAAGGAATTTCAGCTACCTTTTTCTGATTGAGACTGTTCTTTCTGTTGCCATTTTCTTCAAGACTTCCTTGTTGCTTACTGGCTCTGTTCGTGGAATTTTCAGTATCCTTTTGTTGAACCAAATTTTTTGCTGTCTCCAGATTTCTCCTCATCTGTTGGGAGATTATCCAACATTCACTGCCATATAAGAGGATGGATATCACATAGCAATCCGGCACTCTTTTCTTTGTAGGTTTACGGCCCTATCACTTTGAAACTACCGGTTCCCGTACGATCACCAAAGTTAAGTAATGTCGAGCCTGGTCAGTACCTAGATGGGTGACCGCTTGAGAATACCACGTGCTGTAATTTTGGATACGTGGGTTTGGCAATGGATAATGACTTGGAATTGTTAATCGGAATGCCGAGTTTTAATTTCAGTTTGATTTGTTATTTCCGTGCAAATATCCCTGTGAAAAGTACGAATCCACTTCTTCTCCCCCATTAATAAGACTTGTATCACTAAACCATTATTATCTCTCCCCCAAAAATAAAATAAAATTGCGTACAAAATATTTATATTTCGGCATTAAATAACCCATAGAGGTGTTGATATGCCGCTAAACACAATCAACCAACTAAAAACTTTTTCTTTGTTTTTAACGAATATTTTACGTTTCTCAGCACCTTCAAAAGGTTCTTTCACTCGCCCGACACTTGTTCGGATCACGGTGTCACATTTTCCATTCTTCCCAGTTATTTGAACTTAGCATTTGGATTATAAGCTTGGTTATTTGGTTCATTATACTGGTTTTTCGATCGAACTCGTCTTCATTTAAACCTGGCTGTAGTGTATAGTATAGAAAACATTTCATAATTCTATAATTTCAAATATACTATTTAAAATGTCGGCCTTGCTTACTTTCCTTTATTAATTGTTTACTTCCCTTTCAAACATTGTCATCTTAGCTCAGTTTGGCCACTATTTTCAATGCCGCAAATAACTTCATTTGAATAACTAAGAAATTGAATTATGAAAGTAAGAAACAAATAAAACGTTTATTTATATCACCAAAGACCAGATTAAAAATGGATAACAAAGCACTTATATTTATTTTTTAACGTTACAAACCTGAATATACAAATTAGTTACTCCATTAAGCAAGAAACAAAAAGTTGGATACGATATAATATATCATAGCAGAATGTACGTTTTTCTAAGTTAAGAAGAAGCAGAGAGAAAAAGGATATTAAACAACAATAAAAAAGAAACAAATAATTTATATTTGACCTTTCGACTCTTAAAACGCATGAGAATAGTTACGCATACAAATTATTTACTTCTCTCCTAAATGGAATGAACAAAATGACAGGAGAGTTCCATAAGATTTATACTAAGCTGTTTGATTAATGCCTCTTAGTAACGAATCAGCTAAAGGAAAATTCCAAGATGAAAAAGATCACCATTATATTAAGCACTTTTCAGCTGCGTGTCTTCACGCTGGCTTTGTTTTGACGCGTTGATTACCACTACAGCCGTGTTTTTTTTTCTTTACAAAACAAGCAACGTTTATGCAAAGACTTATAATTTTCTCTAGATTTATATATTTTTATACTTGAAAAATCTTCTGTCTGTATCTCTGAGATGAGGTACTATGATTACTTATTTATACTATTCGTACTGTTATCCTCATCTTTATTGCCATATTCTCAACGTTTCGGCCGTTGTACGCTATGGCCTTCTTGGAATTTGTTCTAGTTCCACGTGTTAAAGAAAAGATTGCAATATAAGCTCTAGTAAAAAAAAAATGCAATAATAATAATAACAGAAAATTGCAATATGAGCACTGGTAAAAAAAAAGAAAAGAAAAACGGTTGCTGAGACATTAAGTTTGTAAGTCCCAGAAACCAATACATGGTCCAGTGGATAAAGACGTTGGTTATATCCAGTGACTAGACCCAAAGAGTTGTGAGTTCAATATCAGGCTACAGCAGTGGTGAACTAAAAACTTGGAGAGTTGAGTTAAAGGGCAATAACAGAGACATCCGGAAAAGGCGTGGCATGTGGAACTAGAACAATCTATCACGTTGGACGAAATAAAGGGTTCACTACGAAATCCCAATCACCTGACGAAGGCCGGAGCATACAACGTCTGAAACGTTGTGAATGTGACAATGAAGATGAGAATAACAGTCCGAATAATGTAAATAATGTAACTGAAAAATCTTTTGAAAATATAACTTGAAGAAGAGAGTCATTCTGTTGAAATGTTGTTTAACATTGGGAAATACTGGTTTTTTAATCATTACTGCCAAAAATAGGATGAAGATCAATTGCGACATCTCTAAAAATTCATTCTCAGAAATAAAACCTGAGAGGATGACTTTACACCACAACACAAGGTCGTATTGCGCTGAGCTAACGTTGTAAACGATGAGAAACTTGAAATTGTCGGTTGTCGACAGCCCCCGATCAGCTGGTATCAGACCTCAGTTTTGTGTCTGAATTTCTGCTACACTAGAACATACCTATTCTATTATTAATAGACTCTCCCACATATAATAAGTAGTAGTAGTAGCAATCACCAGAGGGAGCTCAGTCAGTTGGTCAGTCAGTTGATGCCGGACATTAAAGTATCAACAACCACAACTAGATTGCTGTGTCATTAACTATTATTATAAGTTCCTAACGTTTTGTACGTCGAACCTCTTTTAGGACCGACTCAGTGAAATACAAGCCCCCACTGTAAAAACTACTCTACAACAATTTCTGAAGTGAAGAGTTTTCATTATTTTTATTAGTTCGACTGTAAATAATGTCCTCATCTTTGTAATTAATTATCACATTTCGTCCGTCATGACCGCAGACATTCTTCGGTCGATTTGAGTAAACTTCAGGGAATTTCGAACTTAACCCTTTATTTAACTTACGGGGTATATTATTGTTGTGGCTTGTTTACTGGCCTGAAAGACACGAAAGACGAAGGTAGGTTGAACACGTGTATTGGAGTAACAGATATATATACAAAGTAAGAGTGTCATTAATAAGCAGTACGCCCGAAAGATAGGTTAACACTGCATCCCGGCTGCTCATACACACACGGTGTTTACTCGTTTCCCCACCAGAACGAGATGTAACACAAGAGCTTTTTAAAGTGGAGACCCGTGCGCGTGCACCCGGGCAAGGGACAAAAATTGCCCACAGCCTACGTAAACCGTCGGTTGCGGTGGCCTCGGTGCGAGCACCGATCCCTCCCTCTGGTGACATGGGAGGGAGCGGCCTCAGGCAGCTGTTCCCCAGGGCTAGGCACCTCTCAGTATTATTTTCTCAGTTGCTCCTCTGTCCTTTGACAGAGAAGGCCCTGAGAGCACTTTGTTCAAGGACAGAGACGGAACTGAGAGATGATAAGTACATGTGTACCTACTCAAAAAAGAGTAAGTTACACGGTACTGCTCATACACACACGCACAGGAAGTCTCGCAGGTTAGTATTTATGAAAGGAGGAACAGTTCATTCTACAGTAGGTGGGTTACTACAATTATTTTCCTTTATCTGTCCATATTTAAGGATATCTCGTTTAGTTTTGTTTTTTTAAATGCTACTCAAATATTGCTAGGTCAGTTTTCACTGAGTCTGATTTTTTACTACCTAGCGCAGAGATTGAAATCGCAATTACTCTGTTGAAGGTTACTCGGATAAACAGACGCACGAAAAAGACCGAAGAGCGCAACGGCCGAGACGTTGTGATAATAACAACAAAGATAAGGATATTAGTCAAATTTTTGGTGAATCCTAAAATTAAAGAGGCATTGAAAGGACAGCATTTTTTCCTCTGATGCTGAAGATTTTGCCTTGAGCAAAACTAGGACTTTTATTCTGCAGCCTAATATACGATGTGTACAGGTTTGTATTGGAACGAGTTTGACAACTTTCGAAGGAAATGAATTTGACATTTTCGTAAAGCATAAATTTCAACACGTGGAGGAATTCAGCATTTATATTTCTATGGCGGGAAAAACGAACATATGAAGAACTAGTAGTAAAATCCGTCTTCGACCAGCTGTTTCATTACTGCGAATTTTTGCCGCTCAATTGGAGCAGCTTAAAGACACCCCATTTGAAATTTAATATTAGTAACAACAATTGGATGCAATGGAAGCACATCCCCAAATGTGGGTGGGGGTTAACAATTTGAATGCGGGGGTGGCCCTGAAAAGGGCCGTTTTTGCGTTCTCAATCTTGCAAGGAAGGAACTTCTTCCATGGACTGTCATAACAATAACATAATTTTTATTTATAACATAATTTTTTTTTATAATTCTAATAATCCTTTGTGTTAGATTTCAACTCTCTAAATTGATTGTACGCTGTTTTTTATTTACAGACATTAAATTTTCTTTTCGCCAAGTGTGAAAAATCAGATTTTTCGATTTTTCACCTTCAAGGTTGTAATTTTGTTCCTGCCAATTTGGACTCAAAACAAGCACTGAAGAATTATCTATTAAACAAAAAAATCATCGAAAATCGGATGAAAACTCTGGAAACGCAAAAACAACATCCGATCACATACACACACATACATACACACACACATTTTGAAAATTATAGATATAGATAATATTATTGTAATAATTTAAAGTATTTATTTTTATTAAAGTTTTCTTTTATGAAAGATATAGATCCAAGAACAGAAAGTAAATAGTAAAACGTAGCTGAGAGTTATAATGGACAGGAAGTAGTGGAGAGCCATTGTCGCCAACAATTTGGACTCACAACTGGGACTGAATAATTATCTATCAAACAAAAACAATTTCATCGAAATCGGATGAAAACTGTGGAAACGCATAAAAAATATCCGATGGCAGGCACACACACATACATACACATTTTGAGAATTATAGATATAGATATTACTACTGTAGATTACACATCATTTCTATGGCGGGAAAAACGGAATATTAAGAATCGGTTGTGAACTGGGGCAGGAATTGGCTGGTCAACTTTAATGCTCCAAAAACAAAACTGCTCTCTATTAATCACCACAGAGATCCTTCCCTGCCCTCCATTAGAATGTCTGACTCTCAACTTCTCGAGAGCAACTCTCTGCGGCTGCTCGGTCTCACGTTGACGGCTGACCTGAGATGGAACAAGAGTCAATTGCTTCGTCCACCGCAAGGAAAGTTGGCTCCTTGTGCCGCGCCAGGAAATTTTTCTCCCCAGAATCGATCCTCCAGATCTACAAATCAACAATTCGCCCCTGCATGGAGTATTGCTGCCATATATGGTCTGGAGCCCGTTCTGTTTGCCTTGGGGTTCTTGATAGGCTGCAGAGGCGGATATGCAATATAACTGGCCCTGCTCTGGCATCT